GATAAAAACTACCCTTTTTAGTCGTTGAAATCCTATCTTTAGTCTCTCTCAAGTACTAAGGGATTAGGATATAGTTCTACTAGGTCGGTTCAAAGCTTAAGAAAATACTATAGCCCATTGCTTATATGGATCTTTCTTGTGTTTCTCTCGAATACTACAAGTATTATTAGCTAAGTTTCTCTCGAACACTTAGCCTTCATCTAAGAAATAGACACTCTCATGCCTTTTCCAAACTTAGACGATGAAGCATTAATAAGCAAAGGAAGCAAATACAAAAGATAAATATTAATCTACCATTAAAATAAAGTTAAACATCCATTAAAATAACCCCACCAAATAAAGTTAGTTCATGGTGGGCTTCAAATCATCCATAGAACAAGACATGAAATATATTTGTTCCAAATAACCCAATAATAAATAGAAAAATAGCAGCAAATGGAAGGGAGAAGAAGCCTTCGACGCGCACCACTGGAGCTCTCCTCAACCACCAAGACTCGCCTTAGCTCACTACCTCTTCTCGGACGTCTAGCTCGTCATTCCTTGGAGCTTATCTATGGAGTGACACTACTCAATGAAGGAACACCACTAAATGAAGAAGAAAGAGATACAGTGAAAACGATAAGAAAATGTTGATGAATATTCCTCTCCTCTTTTCTCTCTCATGTGAGATGTAATATATAATAAAAATATCTAAGGGTAATGATGAGGTTGTTGCACTCAAAATACCCCTAAAACCCCTAGAGTCACCCCTTAGGCGTGAGTCTTATCCTTCTAGGTGGCAGTGGTCCCCAGCAGGCAGTGGTCCCCAACAGACAGTTACAACCATCATTCACGTGCTGTGCCAGCTGTCATTTTACAAAAAATATCTTTTTGTCCGTTTCTGCGCCAAAAATATCAAGGCATTTCAATTTGCTTCAGCAGCGTGTGATATCACGGCATTCCTTCCCAGTTTGACCTTCTTCTTGCTATTTCCTGCACACCATAGGCAACTACACCTTTCTCTCATACAACATCCTTAAGAGATAAAATAGCAATACCACCACAAATGCAACTATATACAACTACATGATCCTAAAATGACTAAAATGAGCTTTTAAACAAACAATAACTTAAGTGAAGAATGCCTTAAAAGCAACCTTTTTAGGAAGTTATCACTTCCCCAAACTTAAGTTATTGCTTGTCCTCGAGCAATGGATAACAATTAATATAAGCAGAATGTCATAACAATTTTCAACAATAGGACACATGACAAAAATTGAATTTCAACCCTCAGAACAATTGGCTTCAACATGCTAGACATATAAAAAATTCAAGTATTTTACCCTAGGTCAAGATTCTTTGTGATGGTGCGTGATTGTATCCAATCTATACTTAACAAATTTAAACAATTTATAATCAAGTCCCCTAGTTTTTTCCAAGGCATTTACTTATTCATTAAGCACATTTTACTCATTTTTTTACAAACTGCTACGAAGAGAGTCAGCTCATCACACCTACTTTCCCACACTCTAGGTGAAAGGGAGCATACCTTCCACCCCCAAGCTAATTAAGTAGAGTCATCTCGTGACTACTTTCATTCACTCATATGCGCGTGGTTTCCATTTATTAAAGAGAGTTATAGGTAATACCACGACAAAGTGAAGTGTCCCTTTACAGCTATGCCTAAGCATTTATTCACAGTCTCAGATATAAGGGAGTTATTTTTATTTATCTTTTCAGCACAATACTAAACTTCAATGCCAAAACTAATTAGGGTTCCTTCATAAATTTTTCTAAATTTCCTAAGTATAGAGAACATACAAATCATGTAAAAATAATTCACAAAGCACCAAGACCTAGAGTCATTTCTATCATTCTCAATAGTCATTTATATTCAATTTCTAGCCTAACAAGTTCATAATCATCGGGTATCATTAAGACATTTTATCTAATTGTCCTACCACTTATTGATTCCATGGAATAATGTTACACTAATGTTATCATGCATATGTTCTATCGAGAACATTACCTCCCCAAAACTTAAGAAAAGTATTATCCTCGATGCTTAAAGAGAACTAAACTATATAAAAACTATATGACATGCAATGAAATGCAAAATGAATGCAAATGGATGCAAGTGGAGGTAACTCATGTTTTAGGTGGTGGTGTTGCCTTGGAGGTGCTGGCAGCTTCTCGTCTAGTGCGCTTTCGCAATGGTGTCGGGTTGGACTCTGAATAGCTAGAGTAGTATTGCGCTATATTGATGCATCCAGCAGATGTTTTGGTACGTCGACCACTGCGTCGTGCAGGAGAGGGGTCAGGTACAGAAAGTGGACTAGGTGTTTTTTAGCAGAACAATAGGTAAGTCAGGGGTCTCGGAACGTTGAGGGTCTAGAGTCGATTCTTCAACTGGAGGATCGACATCATCTTGCTCTGGATCGAGAGATGCCTCAGCATTGAATGCTGGCAGAATTTCATCCGGAAAGCCTGGAAAATTTTGTTGGACGTGGGGAAGGATATCTTGGAACATCGTTTCCACCACAACATCTCTCTATTTTACATAACCAAAGAATTTACGAATATCACCGTTTAAAGCATGTAAATGAGTCTGAGTTTGCATAATAGCTTCTTTGAGAGCAAGCATCCTTACCTCAACATTAGATTGTGCATCATCTGCAAACTTCTCATGGGCAGGGGCCTTAGATTTTGGGTTTTTAAGTCCCAACAATAATGATAATCTAGCCCTAGTAATACCAGAAACTCCAGATAAAATTTCATCGAAGGAATTTTTCACTTACCTTTTTCTTTCGACACAAAGCAGTAATCAAATTTGGAAAAACTAAAGCACTCGTCTTTTTTCCTAGACATTCATGCACTTGTTGAACAATGATCCTACCCACATCAATAGAATGAGTTTCCATAATCGAATGTAAAAGCAATAAACGGGGAAGAGATACCGTCGTATTGTGGGATGTGGGCATTAGCTTGTGCTTCAGAAAATGATTCCACAATTTGGCATGCGGTTGGAGATGTTCACGGTTAACTGAGTAGCAGTTGGTTTGGCGACCATTACATGAGGTATTTGTAAAGAACAAGTCCTCCAAAACTCCATTATAAGTGGCACTATCAGGGTCACTTTCAAACTTTGCATGTTGGTCTTCAACACCCTGCAAATGAAAGTATCGATTAATAGCAGTTGGTGTAAACCAAATATACTTACCTCGCACAAAAATGGAATGCTGGTTCGGTTTGGAAATGTTACCATAAAACTCTTTCACCAAGGATGCATTCACTGAACCAGGGTGCCTTGCAAACTTGTGCCATTTGTATGGAACAACTATGTCCATCACGTCTGGTCCAAAACTTCCATCCACTTCATCGGTAAAAATAAACCCCAACTCAAAGAAAAGCTTCCTATTTTTGAAGTTTTGAAACTCTGCTTTGGCTTCATCATTTTTGAATTGTTGAGCAATGGGAGCTTCGGCTTCGCTGGGTCTCGTACGCACCATTTTTTTCTCAAAGTGTTGAAGAAAGAAAATTTGAAAAAGGCGTGAGCATTGTTTGCTTGGAAATTTTGAGAAATTTAGGTTATGCGGGAAAATAAAGGAAGAAGAAGAAGTGAGGAAAGATAAAAGGAAAAGTAAAAAATTAATTGAGTGATAGGACGGTTAAAAAAATTTGAGCGTACAACAACATGAAATTTGAAATTCTTGATCGGGTTTGACATTTTAGTTTTAGGGGGTGGGGGTCGTCAGGTAGAGATGCAATAAACATTGCCAAGCTGAACTTTATTGTGCATCTAAATTGCTCATTTTACTGAAACTGAGCTTTGAGAATGCGTTCCAATCATGCTTGCAATGTATCTTTGACTTCAGCTCTGTAGGAGTGTGTCGAACCTAATATTTTTTATCTTGTGAAAAAAATGGTGTTGAGAGCTTGGCTTTACCTTGGTTGGCACTAATTTGTATTTAACAAAAGATTCAAGTTAAAAATCTTTGACTTCAGCTCTGTAGGAGTGTGTCGAACCTAATATTTTTATCTTGTGAAAAAAATGATGTCGACAGCTTGACTTTACCTTGGATGGAACTAATTTGTATTTAACAAAAGATTCAAGTTAAAATTTATTCTAGAAAACAAGACCCGCAAATTAATTAGAAACAATGTAACACAAGTCAAAGTTTTCAACAAAAAAAAGTAGTTCGCTTGCATATAGGCTAGAAAATGATGTGGAGATGAAGTGGTAAAACTTTAAAGATTGAAATTGGCTTGGGAGTCCCGAAGAAAATGGGGAAATGGAGGGCAAAGAATGAGTGAGAAGTATCCAAAAGGAAGAAGGATGAGTTGTGCATGGGGAAAATAACAACAAAATTTGCTGCCATGATAAAAGATAAGTGACTAGTAAGAAGTTGGATGTGCTATTGAGAAAAAGAAAGGAAGAAACGTGATCCAATAATATTTAAGTATTCATTAAGATAAAAAAATTAAAATAAATATACAAATCGTTGATGAACATAATGAGTTGAACTAACCTATTTATTGATTAAACAAGCTTTATAATTAAAATAATATTAAGTTTTCTTCTCCCCTAATGCTTTCTGTAAGAAAGATGTTTCAGAAGAGAAGCTTGTGTTATTCAAATGTTAGGTTAGTCTATTTATACTAGTTACAAGTTTTGAAATAAGGACTTGCAAATACATTCTAACAGAAAACACACACAAATTGCACTTTCCATCTTGTAGTTTAAAAATGTATATTTCCCCCTTGATCGTTTGCCAATTGTCAATTTCTTTTGAGGCATTCGAAGAATAAAAAAAATTGGTTGCCAACAATAACATGTTTACCACTGCATGATTTTTCAAATGAGTAACCTTTTTAAAATAAATCCTGTAAAATCTTTCCAAAACAAAGAAAATAGGAGTCTTAAGTTACTTGAACTTTGATCCCATAACTAGATGATGATTTGTCAATTTATACTGCTGAATAATCCACTGAGCTACATGTAGATGATTACATGGTGAAATATGGAGGTTTTTTAGTGAAACTCTGGGCAGTTTATATAAGAGGCTGAAGGGAGACTGAAAAAGAGCCGAAGAAACTTTTGATTTGACAATAAGTGAAGATCCCTTATGTCAGATTTGTCAGTTAGGCTTTTGATTTTTTTCATCTCAGAGGATTTTTTTTTTGGTTTTCTTCTTGGCTTAGCAAATAAATGGTCTGGTTAATTTGATATTCAAATGGGTAAAAACAATAAGTTTTTAGCAGTGTCTCCAGGTTTATTTGATCCAAGTTTTCTTCCCTGATTTTATTTTTTGCATCCAAGTCGTGTGATGAAAGCAGCAGTTTTTTACCATAGCGGCACAACTTATGTTTTCTGCCCCTAGTCAATACCATTATGTACCTTTTACCATGTGCAACTTCAATCCCAGGTGGATCCTGCCAATGTAAGGGCGATCGAATTCAATGCTTTGCTGGAAGCGGAGAAGGTTGCTGAAGCTACAAAACAAGCTATCAAACGTAAGATTGCACAGGCTGCTTCTGTTGACTTTCAATCTCGGAGTTTACCAGCAAAGCTTAAAATAGCTTCTGATGACCCTGAGGATGTCAAGCCACATTTATTTGAGTTTTTGGATGGAGATATTGTTAGTTGGATTGAAAAGAACTTGCGGCAACCCCGGTATTACCCTCTTGTGGAAGACGACTGGGATCTTTATTTCGGCTCAATGATGTGGTGTATTTGGACCAGACGAAATAGGATCATTTTTATATGGAGTTTGTGGAGAATGGGAGTATATTGCAGTGATTCGCTCGACTCATTAATGAAGTATGTGTGGCGTTGGCAAGAAGACAGCAATGGCGGTTTGATTGGTTGCAGAAGGAGAGTTGAAGTGCTAAGTGTCAGGCTCCGACTGTTGGTTGGATGCAGCTTGATACGGATGGTTCGCGGAATACTACAACGGGTCTCACGACTTGTGGAGGAGTCTTGTGCAATCATTTGGGGGATGGCTTATCGGCTTTTCAAAGTGTATAGCTATTGCTCGGTGTTTGATAAAGAGCTATGGGGAATTTACATGGGTTTGTGTGTGGCTTGGGATAGGAACTACCGAAGGATTATTGTTGAGAGTGATAACAAGGAGGTAATTACTTTGCTCCATAGTAAGATTGAGGTAGGGAGGTTTTCCCCAGTGTTATTGCATATCCGAGCACTAATTAGCAGGGAATGGCAACTGAGTTATCAGTTTGTTCCAAGGGAAGGTAATAAAGTTGCGCATGGTTCAACTAAACTGGCTTGGTCTTCATTGGCGGCCCTTGCGTTACATGAAGAAGTGCCCGACGAACTCTGGCTTGAAATCGAGGAAGATTCTCGTGGAATAGTCTAACGGCATTAGTGCCTGCCTTGTACTAAAAAAAATGTTATCTACGAAATATATATTTATATTTAATTTTAGAATACATATTCAATTTAATTTGATTAAAAATTTTAATTTTGATCTTTAGTTATTATGAAAATACTAAATTTAAATATTAATATATTTTATATATCTTAGGACAACTTAATTAAAATAATAAGCTATCGGAGTGATATATATTGCGAAAAATATTGTATTTTAAAACATAAATATTCTGTGTATGTAAATTAAGTTATGCTATTATTGATCAGTCTAAAGAAGTATTAATAGCTAAAGAAATTATATATGTAATTATGATAATAAACATATTATAATTATTCAGTTTTATAAGAGAATAATAAATTAACTCAAAAGAATATTATTTAATTAATATGCTCTTATTATCAATATTTGATTACTACACCAATATATCACTTACAAGTTACTTCATTCTGTCCAAATATAAGAAAAATGATAAAAGTGTAGATCTTAAGATTACATTTATTCAAACTTATTATTATTTTAACTATCTTTTAAAATGATTGAAAGATAAATTTTAAAAAAATATTTAAAAATAAATAAATTCATATTTTGAATTTGAGTTTTAGTCAAAGATGCTTAATATTTTATATAGATCAATTAAAATAAAATATCATCAAAGTGACTTTTTTTTGCGTAGATTAGTAATTTATGTAATTATTAATTAAACACGTGTAAACCGAATTGAAATAAATTAATTTTCTGCTAAGTTTTTCATTTATCATTTTGTTGTATATGTTATATTTTACATAAATTATAATCGGTAATTAAATTAGATTTTATTGTAATCATAATGGTTAAAGATTACTTGGAAATTAGGTTTATAATAAAGTAAATATTTATTTTAGACAATGATTCGTATGGAAAAAGAATTCTTGATAGGATGAGTGTTCAATTGAGTCGAGTAACAAAATTTTGAGTTATTCGAGTTGAAGAATCCTATTTTACAACTCAGAGTTGACTTAAAATTTTTTCGAGTCGAATCGAGTTTATAAAATTCGAGTTGAGTCAAATCAAGTCGATTTTTCGAGTTTCTATTTAAATTTAATTTTAAATACTTGTAATATTATAATATTATTTGATTCTAATTTAAGTGAGTTTTATAAGCATATATAAAAAACAAATATGTTTCTACATATTTTTTCATATTTGATATGCATATATCATACAAAGTCCAAGAACTCAACTCAAACTTAAAATTAAATCCACTGTCGACACCATTTTTGGTCAGGGCGGGGAAAAGACCGATATTGACTCGGGGGTTTTCTCTTTGAAAAGAATTTTCAAAATGTGAAGAGTCACCACCAATCATTTAAGGTGCGATTGAAACACCGTAAAAGCGGGTGATTTTAGTTAAAACATTTATTTTTATCAAAATACCTATATTTAAAATCGAAAATTTTAAGTTCGATCTTAATTTAATTTAAAAATCAATAAGGATGCATAATTTGAAAAGGATATTCGTTTATTGAGACAAATAGCATTCGCCCCCGAGTGTAAATGCAGGAGATCAGCTATTATATCTAATAATCGAACATTGCCTCGTTTTTGGAAAACATAATGCAATTTTGAAAAGGATGTCGACTTATTTAGGGAATCACCAGTAGTCACCTCCTGAGCATGATCGCGAGAGATATACTATTAATTCCTTAAATGAGTGAATAGTGCCTTAAAGTTAAAATAAAATACAATCAAGCAAAATTTTATTGAATCCTAATTAATCTAAAGTAAATCAAGGCTTTTCTAACTTAAGGTGTCAAATTATGAGAATTAAGGAACCTAGGGGCTCAAATCTAAAAATGTAGGCTCCAGTATTAATCCTATTTGATTTTAAATAATTATTGAATTGAATAACCGAGATGATCCCTCCAGCATTTACGCGAAGGCCGACTCAAATTATCCCCTAAATTAAAAGACTAGTTTGAAATCTAAGCTAAAATGGTGACTCTATTTAACCAATTTAATTATGTCAATATTAAAAGTCTAATCGAAGTTTGAGGAATAAAAGGGCAAGGTCTGAAGATATCGATTTCTAAATGATCTAAAAGCTTAGGACCTAATTTTAATTTCTAAAGTTGAGGAATAATTCAAACCTAATTATTATCTAAATTAACCTACTTAAAGAACTAAGACTAAAGTTTTTAGATAATATTAATTATTAATAAATTTTAAAAGTTAAGCAATTGATTCTAGAAATCGGGCATCTTATGCGAAAACTCGACTCGAATTGCTCCCTAATTAATAACTAAAGTGAAATCATAATTTCTAAGCTTGATTCGAATATCAATCTAATTTAAAACTAAATCTAAGAATTAAAGCTATGAAAAAAAACAATTAATAATAAACTTAATTAAAATAACTAAAACAACAAGTAATAATAATAAAACATTAAATAATCAACAACATAAGTAACAAATAAAAATAAAATAAGTACAATGACCAAATTGCATAAAATCTAATAACAATAACTAAAATGCAATAATTAAAATAATATTAACTAAATCAGAAATTAAAAAGGTGACTAAAATGAATAAATTGTAACTATCACATCCAAATGATAATAACATAAGAAACATAATCCAATCAGTGGCTAAAATGAATAAATGTAAAAATCAGTGGCTAAATTCGAACAAATCAGAATAATAATAGTGACTAAATTAAAATAAAACAGAATGATAAAAGTACAATAAATTAGAAATGAAAGGTCTAGTGACTAAAATAAAAAAGCATAGCAAATATAGGGGTACCTCGACTGCAATTTGACCCTAAAAATGACAAAAATGTAAAACTGCGTCTAAAGTTACAGGGACCATTTAATGATTAACCCCCTAAAATAGATGAACAAAGCAGAAAACTCCTAGAAGCCAGGAACCTGATGCAGGATTTACCCTTTTTTAAAACAAAAAACATACCCCATGTTTACGTGAACCAGCCGAGGAGATTACCAAGCTTCACCACTCCCTCAACCACCGCTCACTGACCCTCTCACGCCAGCCACTGGGCCGATGAACACCCTAAACACCCAGTGACCTTGACCATGAATGGAGGAGGACCAACCACTCCTAAAAGGCCGAAACTTCCCCCTCCTAATATCACTCTCTCGTTCTTTCTCTTCCCCATTCGGCTGCCGAGAGGGCTAAAAAATGAGCCCCAACACCGGCCACCACCCTTGGTGACCCCCTTGCTACGACCGGCGACTTAAACGAAGTAAAAAAAGGCCCCCCGAAGCTCATCACTCACAAAACTGAACCCCGAAAACCAAGCCTCAAACGTAGACTTCTAGGCCAAAACTCCCAACCTTCGCCAGCCACTAACAACCAGCTTTGCTAGGCCACGATCCGGCCTATCTCATACGTTGGCCACCACTCAATGGTGGCCACTCCCTCTGTAACCCGTGAACCCCGAAAGCCAAAAGAAAAGAACCATGAAACTGTAAAAAAAAAAAAGAGCCAAGGAAAGCAAAGAAATGAGAGCCCAACAAAAGTCAGCAAAAACTTCTTTTCATTCCTTAATTTTCGGGATAGGGCTCTGTCTGATTTTACAAGGTTGGTTGGGGTATTAATAACCCTAACAACTATAATATAATATTATTTTTTTATAAATATAATAAAATAATGATAAAATAAAAAATAGTATTTATAGTTGTCTCTCTTTGTTTATTGTTTTGGAATAGGAATATAGCAAAGATAGTAATTACTATTTTTTATCTAGTCTAAATTACTAAAATCTTGAGCTCCAATTTCTTCTGGTCGGACATGTTCTTCTCATTATGAGCTCTTCGTTAGAATGTCAATCTACTTCATTCTATGATGAAATCTAGCAAAAATAACAATATTGATTAGACATTGTCTTGCTCTGCTTTAGTTTGCTTGAATTGAACTTCGGATTAATGTTTTGGATTGTTAAAACTTTTAATGTTTTTGGATTGGATGTTTGAATGTTTGGATATTATGGATATTAGATGTTTGAACTAAATATATATATATTTGGTCTTAATGTTTATTTTGTTTTTGCATCATTTACATATTAGTTGCAATATAACCAATTTACCATTTCATAATATTTATGAATATTGAATTTTAAACTAATGACTAACATTTCTCTTGATTATGATCTTAGCAGCTTAAACTATATTTATTTAAAATCAATGGGCTAAATTTTTCAAAGTCTTGCTTTGAATTAAACGTTTTATATAGTCTTTTTGATTTAACAAAAAGGGGAGAAAGATATGTTATAATAAGGGGGAGTAATTTTACAAAATTGATTTCAAAAATAAAATGATTTTCTTGAAAAATCTTAAAATTACTCGAATGTTTTGTTATATCAAAAAGTGGGAGATTGTTGAAAATGTTTTCATGTTTCGATATAACAAATTAAGTATAAATGAATTTTAAGATTTTACAAATCATTTTCTAAGTATATTCGATTTAATTATTCGAATATCAAAATATTACTCCAAGTCTTTCAAAGATCAATTTCAATCTTTACTAAAGTGTAAAATTGTGTTTTAGACTTAAAATATTTTTGAAACAATGTTCACAAAGAATTTCGAACCAAAAACGAGCAAAATATTAAGTTTTCAAAGTAGTTTACCGATGCACCATCTAATGCATCGATGCACCCTTGAATAAATTGTATTTCGAATGCATTTTGTGTACCGATGCACAAGGCATGCATCGATGCACTCCTGAATATTTTGAACATCAAATGCATTTTGTGTACTGATGCACAGACCATGCATCGATGCACTCCAGGCTCATTTGGAAAATCGAATGTATTTTATGCATCAATGCACCCCTAGTGTACTGATGCACTAAGTCTTCCAACGGTCAAAATATTTAAATTTTACACATAGTGTACGATGCACCTTGCCTATGCATCGATGCACACACGCTCCCAACTATTTTATTAATTGATAATTACACTATAACGACTCTATTGACTTCACCAAT